TTCAAATTCTCATTCCCAGCATAGTAGATCGTATGGTTATCTGATTCAAAATGGCCAAAGCTAGTCCATTTCAGCTCACTAATGCCTAGGATATCAATATTTATGTGTTCCATTTCATTTTTGACAATTTCCAACTTTCCTAGATTCATACTTCATGCATTCCATGTTCCAATTATTAATGATTTTTGTAACTGTTTCTCCTCAGTTTGAGTTGTGCCACATCAGGAAATGGAGGTCTCAAAAACTTTATTTTATCCATATTAGTAAGGTTGATTTTACTCTGATGATATAGCTCTTTCCCAGTCATATTTTGAGAGCCTTCCGACCTAAGTGGCGCATCCTCCTGCACTGCTTTGGACAGTGTTTCCAGGCTATTCATAAAGGTGCATAGTAATGTATCAGACAGGCTTTCTCTGCTATTCGTAAGGTTTTCCCTGGCCAATTCTTTGAGAAATGGATGGCCTCTTCCTTCTTCCTAATCTATCTTAGTCTGTAAGCTGCAGTGAAACCTGTGCACCATGTGCTGGCATTTGAAACACTGGTGGTCCAGCCTCAAGCCTCAGAGCAACACGCAGGCCACCACCATATGACAAACTGACAGACAAGTTTGTCTCCCTTAGCTGTTGGAAACCTCTCTGCTTCCTGCCTCTTGGGGGTGGGGTCTGTATCCCTTCCCTTACCTGAGATCCCTGCCGCTCTGTCTGTGGTCCCCTGGTTTCTCTTTCCCTTGCTTCCTGCCTCTTGGGGGTGGGACCTGTGTCTCCCAAGAGAAGGGCATAAGTGAAGAGGGATGATTGGAATGGCTGGTACCACAGAGATGATCCTGAGGACATGGGGTGTGCCCAATAAGGGAACACTTGGTCCTCAGAGGGAACGGAGCTGGAGACCCTTATCTGGTAGCTGGTCCGGGCTCTCCTGGGACCCTCAGGCACCTTGGCTACTGCAGTGATAGAGCAGAACCTCAGAAGTCAGATGGACCTTAGTTCAAGTCCTTTATCCAAGGAGCAGTCAGATGAGTAGAAGGGAAACCAGGAGGGGCTTTCAGTGTCATTGTTGTTTCTCTCACCCCTGGGTTCTGCTGGATGCCAAGGCCTTGTCCTCGGGGAGCTTCCATCTAACAGAACTGAAATCCATGGATTTGAGCACACACACGTATCTAAACTCTTCCTGTTGCTGAAAATGATTTCTGTTGGGACTAATAAAGTGTGTTATTTACCCATCAGCACCAAGAGCCATGAGGCCTTCTTTTGAGTCAAGGACTCATGCTTTCACATAGTTAAATAATTGCCTCTTAAGTCTGTTTTATGAAAAACATACACCTTAAAATGTGGAGAATTTATCACTGCCATTAGGGATGCCTATTTTTATAGGTATATTAGAGAGACTTTTAAGACTTGTATTGACATTCACTGATTGCAAATTACAGAAGCCATTTATCATTGCAGACTTTACTCCTGAGGCTGTTCTTAACTCATACAATTCTTCTAAGCATATTGATTTCTGTCCCACTTCTTGTTTTCCCTTACTGTGTCATTGTTGTGTGTCCCTGGAAAGTGCAGGGCCCATTAAAAGCTAATGAAATAGCCCTCACAGTTTTCACCCCCAGAATGCTCTCCTGAGAGTCACAGCTTGATTGAAATAAAGAAGTTTTATGTCCACGTGTGCTTGGCCCATCTGGATGTAACATCCATGCAGTCGTCCTGATAATTTGGAGGTCAGGGGCTCAGCATTGGCACTCTCCCTTCTTCCCCTAACAGAATCTGCTTGATCCCAGGTGTAATCACATTGTTAAGTAAGTGGCTTTTCTCCATGCCACCATCTGGAGCTATTGTCAGTGCCATTCCACGCAGGGGCACATGAGTGGCCAGAAAGTTTGATCAGCATGTCTGTCTGACACTTAAGCCTGTGTTCTGCCTCAGTGCTTTCCACTGATCAGAATCACCAAGGAAGCTTTGGAACAATATGGATTCCTGGGCCCCGTACAGTCATGGTCAGTGTGGCCCACCAAGGGGCTTGAGGTATTTAGAAAGTGCTAACCCTGTCCACACTGGCTTTCAGACATATCATTGGAAAAATAACAGTAACAAGGAGCCTTGAATAGCTAGATCAGAGGTCAGCAACTTTTTTTGTAGAGGACCAGATGGTAAATACTTAAGGCTTCGCAGGCCATATGGTGTCTGTTGCAGTGACTCAACTCTGCTGTTGCAGTATGAAAGCAGTGTGGCGTGACAGGTTAACAGGGGATGTAGCAACATTTGGCCTGTGGGCTATAGTTCGCTTACCTTGTCTGCTAATCTAGATGATTAGGATTATGCATGATGATTGGGTGAGCAATTGATCTTGCTACTCTCCGGGGGATGTTGGGACTTGTGGAAGAATACACTACAAGCAGATACATACCATTAATGGTGTATTGGTTAAGAATTGCATTCAGCTGCTGGTACCAAAACTCCACAAATATTAGCTCAAACAACTTAGAGATGAATTTTTCTCTTTTCTTAAAAAAGTCTGGAGTAGATAGTCCAGTAATTGGCATGGGGCGTACAAAATGCCATTGAACCCAGAGTCCTTCTGTCTTCCTACTTTCATTCTTAGGATCACCTCATGATCACAGAATGGCTGCTGAAGCTCCAGTCATCACACCTGTGTTTGAGAAAGAAAAGGAAGAAGGGCAAAAAGGTCCCTGCTGGCTGTGTCAGATCTCTCTAAAGAGCTGTCTTAGAAGTTACAAACAATGATTTTTGCTTTTATCTCACTGGCCTCTCTCACCTGCAAGGGAGACAGAAGAATGTATAATTGTTTGTTTGTTTGCTTGTTTTTGTGGCTGAGAACATTGTCTGTCATCCTTAGCAATATTGGGGAGAACAGATCCTGGGTGGGCACCTAGCACTTGCCATCACTGAGGAGAACTCCAGGAATGCCCTAAATGTGCTGCAGTGACATCCCCCAAGCTCTGTGGGGCTTATTTGCTATGGATTCATCATGTCCCACTCAGACTAGAGGCCACCAGAGCCTGAAGTCCCAGTTCTCTGTAACTAACCAGATGCCTTTGTTCTAGAAGATACCATGTACCTTTTGATGAGGTCTAAGATGACATGAGCTTTGTCAGCAGCCCTCCCACATTACTCATTTAGCTTGAATTTACTGAAACTGCTAAGTCTTGGTCCTACAGGCCACTGCTCTGCCATAAACTCCCCATCATTTCTTATTACCGTAGGACCTGTCATTGATCTTGTTGAATTTCATCCTGCTGGCTTAGACTCATTTGTTCTCTGTCATCCGGTATTTACTGTCCCTCTCCACTTGGGGGCTTCTATAAGCTAGACAAGGGAGCTCTGGTGGTGTAGTGCCTAAGGCATTTGACAGCTAACCAGAAGGCTGGAGGTTCAAACCCACCAACCACTCCTTGGAAGGAAGATTGATAGACCTCCTGTTTCTCATCTAACTTCACTGGAAACGTCCATCCATTAACCAAAATTCTTCAGTAAAAGCCTTCCTTTCTGCATCTTGTTCATAGGGGTACTATGAGAGACCCCAACAATCACCTTATTACCAAAGGTCAAATATACAATGTCAGTGTTTGGGATGCTGGGTGGTTTTCACAGGTGAGCCTATCTCACCAGCAGCCTGTTACTGGTATAATACACATGTAACAAAAATATAAAAACTGCATCCCTGATATCAGGAAAAGGAACATGCAGCACCTAGTTCCTGACCTTGCCTGTCGCTCCTTCTTTCACGTGTCCCTTTGTCTGGTAGGTAGCCACAGGCCTTTCTCCATGCCAGGCACTGGGCGCCCAGCAGGCTTAAGCTTCCTGCTCTCCTGGAGTTAATTGTCACCGGTGAGGCGTTGCCAGCATCCAGTCCCTTTGCAATAAGTAGTTTGTTTTTTTCCCCCATTAATTTTTTTAAAAAATAATATGTATTATGTTTTCAGTGAAGTTTTACACAGCAGTTTAGGTTCCCAGGCAGCGTTTTCTACACAAGGAATTCAGTGACATTGGTTATGTTCTTCACCCTGTGCGAACATTCTCGTTTCTTTTCTGGTTGGTCTGTTTCCATTCATCTAGTTCCCCTGCCTCCTTGCAGTCTCATCTTTGTTTTAAAGTCATTGTTGACCGTTTAGTCTCACGCAGGTGATTTTTTAAAGGAGCACAGTACTTACAGGTGTGTTATGAGTGTGTGTGTGTGTGTGTGAGAGAGAGAGAGGCAGGGAAGAGAGAGAGATTTGGGTGAAAGTTTACAGAGCAAGTTGTGTTTCCATTCAGCAGTTCATCCACATTTTGTTCTGTGGCCCTGATTACAGTCGCCGTAATGTTAACAGTGCTCTTTGCTCTTTTTCCCTGGGTTTATCATTTCCATTCATCCTTCCTGCCTTCTGAGCTCTATCCCTGGACACATACTGCCCTTTTGATCTCTTATGGTTGATTGTTCTAAGGAGTGTATACCTCTCTGGTGTGCTGTTCACCTTACAGACTTTGCGTTTGGCTGAAAATGGAACAGTAGGCGTGAGCTCCGTTCCAGGTCTGAAGGGTGACCAAGGGCCATAGTGTCGGGGGACCCGGCAGTCTCTATCTAACCAGGAATCCTGGTCTTTTTTATGATTTTGAGTTTTCCACATTTTTCTCCCACTGTAACCAGGACCTCCTATTGTGATGCCTTTCAGAGCAGTTGGCAGTGATAGTCAGGCACCATCTAGTTCCTCTGGTCTCAGGGTTATGGAGGCTGGCATTCACGTGGCCCATTAGTCACTCTGAGCCCCAGGCCCAGCAACTCTTTCCCTGAAGGTGTTTGGTTATGGCTAAGCAGTTTTCATAACTTTGCCCCCTGTGCACTTTACTGTATTCATGGATATAATTACAGCACATATGAATACGTGGGTAACAACAGCCTCTGTCGAACCTCTGTGTGTTCACGGGTGTGGGCCCACTCTCCTCCCCACTCCTGTGTGTACTGAGTGTTTCGGAGAAGCTCACGTTCTGTCCTTGCTGTCTCGGCAGGTCTACATCCGGATAAAGGATGACGAGTGGAACGTCTACCGGCGCTACACGGAGTTCAGGAGTTTGCATCACAAGCTCCAGAGCAAGTACCCCCAAGTGAGGGCCTACAGCTTCCCACCCAAGAAGGCCATTGGAAACAAGGTACCACACCCCGGGGGGGCCAGGTGCCCTGCTGGTTTGTGCCAACATTTGGGGCCCATGGTTTCTTCCTTCGTTTCAGTTTATTATCAAAAACCAAATGCAAAAAGGCAGAAGGTAGTCTTAAGAAACAGTAGGAAAAAGAAGACTATCACTCCTAATTCCACAAGCTAAAGATGACTGCATTACGTTTGGTTTGTCTTTTCTCTAGGGCAGGGTTTGGCAAACTTTTCCTTAAGGACCAGAAAGTGAATGTCCTCGGTCTTGTGGGACATACTGTTTCTGCCAAAACCATTTCTCTGTTGGGGGTAACCAACGAGTGGGGCTGTGTCCTGGTGAGACATCCCTTAGCAGAACAGGTGGCCGCTGGCCTTGGCCTGTGGCCGTGGTTCGGAAAACACAGTTCCGGACCTAGTGTTCTGGATGTTTCCTCCTCGTCTTCCTCCACATGCTGTCTTCATACCTGCTCAGTGTCAGGACCGTGGAATTAATTCCCACGACGGAGCTTTCTCAGAAGACTTTCTTCCTCTGATTACAGGATTCCTCCCCTCATGAAAGTTCATCGTTAGTCATGGAATAGTTCATTTCTGTCCTTCCTTAGGCATCAAGTGCTGCAGGAACAGAAACACCATGAGTGGATCAGCTTTAGCAAACCACAGTTTAAGAGGCTAGACGTCCACATTGAGGGTGTGGTTCTAGGGGAAAGCTTTCTCTCTCTGGAAAGGGAAAATGGGATTGCTGAGGCATTAAACACCCCACCCCACCCCGCTCTTCCATTGTTAGCTGTGTGACATTGGGGACTTCCTGGGCTGCTCTGTGCTGACAGTCACCATGGCTCCTCCTGGAGTGGAGGTGAGGCTCATGTGATCAGTACACATAAAGCATGAGGAACAGTGCTAAGCATGTAGTAAATACTCAGTAAAAATGAACTGTCATGGTAATTCTATGCCTCTGTGGGCACAGAGCTGAGAACACAGCTTAACACGTGATGAGAGTTCACTAAACAGTTCCCAATATAATTTGATGTCACCATCACCAACATCAGAGTCATTAGACCTGAGGGTACCCAGCTCTTTGCAAAGCAGTTTACAGTCACATGGACTTCTGGGAATGTGGAGTAAAAACTCCAGGATCTCAGGACATACGTTGTTGTTGGGTGGCATGAGATCAGTTCTGACTCACAGCAGCCCCTGTCCACCAAGCGACGCACTGGCTGCTCCTGCGCCATCCTCACAGTCCTCGCCGTGTTTGGGCCTGTTGTAGCAGCCACCATGTCAGTCCATCTCGTTGAGGATCTTCCCTTTCTCTCTGACCCTCTGCTTTACCAAGCATGGTGTCCTTTTCCAGGGACTTGTTCTTCCTGATAATATGACCAAAGAGCGAGGGACAAAATCTAGCCACCCTCACTCCTAAGAGCATTCTGGCGACACTTATTCTAAGACAGATTTGTTTATTCTTTTTGGCAGTCCATGGTATATTCAACGGGGAGCTCTGGTGGTGTAGTGCCTAAGGCACTTGACTGCTAACCAGAAGGCTGGTGGTTCAAATCCACCAACCACTCCTCAGAAGGAAGACTGGGCAATCTGCTTCTGTAGATATACTGCCGCAGAAAACCCAAGGAAGGATCACGATGAGTCAGGTTGACTCGACAGTAGTGAGTTTTGGTATATTTAGTGTTCTTCATGAGCAACACGGGTCAAATGCATCAATTCTTCTATGGTCTTCCTTACTTACTGTCCCGCTCTCACATGCATGTAGGGCTATTGAAAAGACAGTGGCTTGGGTCAGGTGCACCTTAGTCTTCAAAGTCCCATCCTTGCTCTTTAACGCTTCGCACCTTAGTCTTCAAAGTCCCATCCTTGCTCTTTAACGCTTCAAAGAGGTCATTTGCCTCAGGTTTGCCAGGTGTTGTATGTCGCTTGATTTCCTGACTGCTGCTTATTGGTCCAGTTGTGAGGATTTTTGTTTTGTGTTAAGATGTAATCTATCTGAAGAGTATGGTCTTCGATCTTCATCAATAAATGCTTCAAGTCATCTCCTTCCAAGCTGAAAGCTAAAGTATCCACTTGTACACTGTTGTTACTACTGTCATTAGAGGATCACATGTGTAATAGTATTTACCCTTGTTGCTGTTAACCCTTGTGCACTTCCTACCATCATCTTTTGCCATGGTCATATTTACCTCCCCCTTAGTGTTTACTGCCTTTGCCTTGCCCTGAATTAATACCTGTCTTCTCTCTATCTCTCCCCCCCTCCCCCTCCCCCTCCCCCTCTCCCTCTCTCTCTCTCTCTACCCCGTCAAGTCAGGTCTGACTCATAGCGACCCCTCCTTGGGTTTCCGAGGCAGTATCTCTATGGAAATAGATTGCCCAACCTTCCTTCCGAGGAGTGGCTGGTGGGTTTGAACCACCAGCCTTTTGGTTAGCAGTCAGATGCCTTAGGCACATTGCCGCCAGGGCTCTCTACTCTCTATTTAGTGATTTATGCTCCCTTCCTTTCTCATCCCTTGGAAGCATCAAAGAACATTTCTTTCTATATGTAAACCTTTTCTTTACTATTTATAATAGTGGTCTCAGACAATATTTGTCCTTTTGTGATTGACTTACTTTACTCAGCATAGTATCCTCCAGGTTTATGTGTGCTGAAGTATTTCGCAGATTCATCATCATTCTTTAACATTGCATAATACTCCATTAGGAGTTCTGGTGGCATAGTGCCTAAGGCATTTGACTGCTAATCAGAAGGCTGGTGGGTCAAACCAACCAGCCACTTCTTGGAAGAAAGATTGGGCAATCTACTTCCATAGTGATATGGCCTCGGAAACCCAAGGAGGGGTTGCTATGAGTTGCATTTGACTCAATGACAGTGAGTTTGGTTCTTTTGGTTTAGTATTCTATTGTGCGTATGTACCATAGTTTGTTTTTCCATTCATCCATTGATGGCCAGTTAGGTTGTTTCCATCTTTGTGCTATTGTGAATAGTGCTACAATGGACATGAATGTGCATAGAACTGTTGGTGTCATGGCTCTTACTTCTCTAGGATATATACCCAGTAGTGGGATTGCTGGATCATGTGGTATTTTTATTTCCAACTGTTTAAGGAAGCACTGTCCCGTTTTCCATGGTGATTGCACATTTTGCATTCACATTGGAAGTGTACGAGGGTTCCAGTCTCTGCACACCCTTGCCAGCATTGGTTTTCTGCTTTCGGCACTTTGCTGGTAATGCTGGGGTGAGATGGTGACTCATTGTCAGTTTTGTTCACGTTTCTCGAATGGCTAGTGGTCATGAGCATTTCTTCATATGTCTCTTGGCCACCTGAATGTCTTCTTTGGGAAAATGTCTATTTATGTCCTCTGCTTATTTTTTATGTTGTTACGTGCCGTCGAGTAAGACTTTTAATTGAATTGTTTGTCTTTTTGTTGTCAAAGTTTTCTATAAATTTTAGAGATTAATCCCTTGTCTGATAAGTCATTACCAATTTTTTTTTTCCTAGTCTGTGGGTTCTCTTTTCACTCTTTTGGTAAAATCTTTTGATGCACATGAATGTCTAATTTTTTTTTTTTAATTGTGATTGGGTGAAAGTTTACAAAGCAAATTCACTTTCCATACAGTAGCTCACATACACTTTGTCTCATGACATTGACTATAATTTCCCACAATGCAACAGCTCCCCTTCCACTTCCTCCCCATAGTTACCTCTTCCCTGTGTCCTTCCCTCCATGCATTCCTGTCTCCCAAACTGTCTCCCTATGCATACACAGCCCTTCTATTTTCCCGTGGTTGTTCTCTCCAAGGAGTGTATCGGCCTAATGTAAATGTTCAGCTCATATACCTGTTTTTTGTTTGTCTGGAAGCCACAGGTATGGGTTCAATTCCAGATCTGAAGGGCAGCTAGGGCCCATAGCCTCAGTGGTTCCATCAAGCTCTTTCAGCGCGGCAAACCTGCCTACCCCCATTTATTTATTTATTTATTTTTGATGATTTTGAGTTTTGTTCCACATTGTTCTCCCACTCTATCTAGGATCTCCTACATAGCTCCCCCTCCGAGTGACTGATGAATGTCTAATTTTTAAGAGGTCTCAGTCATCTAGTTTGTCTTCTGCTGTTTGTGCATTTTCAGTCACGTTTGACAGTGTATTTATTCCATGTATCAGGGCTGCCAAGTTTCCTCCTGTTTTTTCTTTTATTGTCTTTGTGGTTTGAGGTTCTACATGCAGGTCTTTGATCCATCTTGAGTTAGCTGTATGTGATTTGAGGTGTGGAACCTATTTCATTTTTCTACAAGTGGATGTCTAGTTTTGCTACCACATTTGTTAAAGAAACTATATCCTCCCACATTTAATGGGTTTCAGTGCTTTGTCAGAAATCAGCTGTCCATAGGTGGATAGATTGACTTTTAGGTTCTCATTTCCATTCTGTTGGTCTGTGTCTCTGTTGTTGTACCCATACCAGCCTATTTTGACTGCTGTGGCTGTGTAGTAGGTTTTGAGATCAGGGAGTGTGAGGCCTCCTACTTTGTTCTTCTTTAGTAGTGCTTCACTTATCCAGTGTCTCTGTCCTTTCCATATAAAGTTGGTCATTAGGTTTTCCATCTATTTTGAGAAAGATGATGCAGTCTGGATTGTGATTGCATTATAGATTGCTTTGGGTAGAATTCACGTTTTCACAATGTTAAGTCTTTCTATCCATGTGTATGGTGTACTCTTCCATTTATGTAGATCTCTTCAGTTTCTTGTAGTAGTGTTTTATAGTTGTCTCTGTATAATTTCTTGTAGCTCTGTTGAGATGTATTCCTGAGTACTTCATCTTTTGGGTGGCTGTTGCAAATGGTATTGTTTTCCTGATTTCCTTTTCAGAGTTCTCTTTGTTAGTGTACAAGAATCTGGTTAATTTTTGTATGTTGATCTTGTACTGTGCCACTTTGCTGAATTCTTCTGTTAATTCCAGTACTTGTTGTCTGGGATCTTTCTCTATATAGGATCATATCATCTGCAAATTGA